TAACCCCCCCCATTGGGACCCCCTGAGGGCCCCCCAATTAGAACCCCGCTATTGGGACCCCCATTATTGGGACCCCCATGATTGGGACCTCCCCCATTAGAACCCCATTATTGGGACCCACACATCCTATGGGGTTTCTGTAGGTCCCACACAATCTATGGGGTTCCTGTAGGTCCCACACAATCTATGGGGTTTCTGTGGGTCCCACACAATCTATGGGGTTTCTGTGGGTCCCACACAATCTATGGGGTTTCTGTGGGTCCCACACAAACTATGGGGTTCCTGTGGGTCCCACACAATCTATGGGGTTTCTGTGGGTCCCACACAATCTATGGGGTTTCTGTAGATCCCACACAATCTATGGGGTTTCTGTGGGTCCCACACAATCTATGGGGTTTCTGTGGGTCCCACACAATCTATGGGGTTCCTGTGGGTCCCACACAATCTATGGGGTTCCTGTAGGTCCCACACAATCTATGGGGTTTCTGTAGGTCCCACACAATCTATGGGGTTCCTGTGGGTCCCACACAATCTATGGGGTTTCTGTGGGTCCCACACAATCTATGGGGTTTCTGTAGGTCCTACCTGTTGTGCTGAGCGCAGCGGTCGCCTGAGGGGCCGGCAGTGCGGGGTTGGGCACCTGGAAACGACACAGCGACCCCATAGAGCTGTGGGGTGGGTGTGGGGTCTTGTGGGGTCCCTATGGGCCTCTATGCAGTTCTTATGGGGTCCCTATGGGTCCTTTTGTATCTCTATGGATCCCTATGGGTCTCTATGGGATCCCTATGAGTCTCTACGGTATCTATGGGGTCTCTATGGGTCGCACCGTGTGTGGGGGCTGTAAGGCCCTTTTAGGGTCGCTATGGGGCCCATCAATGGGGTGCTATGGGGCCCATCTCTGGGGCGCTGTGGGGCCCATCTATGGGGTGCACCGTGTGGGGGCTGCAGGAACCTTTTAGGGTCGCTATGGGGCGCTGCGGGGCCCTTTTAGGGTCGCTATGGGGCCTTTCAGGGTGGCTATGGGGCACTGTGTGGCCCTTTTAGGGTCGCTGCAGGGCCCTTTTATGGCCGCTATGGGGCGCTGCGGGGCCCTTTTAGGGTCGCTATGGGTTGCAGTGGGGCCCATCTGTGGGTCGCACCGTGTGGGGGCTGTAGGGCCCTTTGTGGGGCGCCCCACAGGGGTTGATCCGCTTCTCCTTCTGGCGCCGGTTGCAGAACCAGACCCGGATCACCTCCTTCTCCATGTGCAGCTGCTCCGCGATCAGCAGGATCTCCTCCGACGTCGGCTTCTGGTTCTGGGGGGTGGGGGGCAGAGGTCAGGGGTCAAAGGTCACGGGGTCACGGGGTCAAGGGGGGTCACGGGGTGGGAGGTGAGGGGTTGGAGGCCAGGGGTCGTGGGGTCACAGGGTCGGGACGTGATGGGTCACGGGGTCACAGGTGAGGGGCTCACAGGGTCGCAGGGTCAGAGGTCACGGGGTCACAGGGTCCTATAGGGCAGGATGTGTGGGGCAGGGCGCTATAGGGCTGTCTCCATAGGGCAGTCTATACGGCCATCTATAGGGCAGCCTTTATGGCCGTCTATAGGGCCGTCTATAAGGCAACCTATATGGCCGTCTATAGGGCCGTCCATAGGGCAGCCTATATGGCCGTCTATAGGGCCGTCTATATGGCAGCCTATAGGGCAGCCTACATGGCCATCTGTAGGGCCGTCTATATGGCAGCCTATAGGGCTGTCTATAGGGTAGCCTACATGGCCCTCTATAGGGCAGCCTATATGGCCATCTATAGGGCCGTCTATATGGCAGCCTATAGGGCAGTCTATAGGGTAGCCTACATGGCCCTCTATAGGGCAGCCTATATGGCCATCTATAGGGCCGTCTATATGGCAGCCTATAGGGCAGTCTATATGGCCGTCTTTAGGGCAGTCTACCTGGCTGTCTATAGGCCAGTCTATATGGCAGTCTGTCAGTAGGGCCGTCTATAGGGCTGTCTGTCAGTCAGTAGGGCCGTGTGTCAGTAGGGCCGTCTGTCTGTCAGTAGGGCCGTCTATAGGGCAGCCTATAGGGCCGTGTGTCAGTAGGGCCGTGAGTAGGGCTGTCAGTAGGGCCGTCTGTCTGTCTGTCAGTAGGGCTGTCCATAGGGTAGGCTATAGGGCCGCGTGTCAGTAAGGCCGTCAGTAGGGCCGTCTGTCTGTCAGTCTGTCTGTCAGTCCGTCTGTCTGCCAGTCTGTCTGTCAGTCCGTCTGTCTGTCCGTCTGTCCGTCTGTCTGTCCGTCGGGCCGCCCGCAGCCTCACCGCCAGGAAGCTTTTCTCCAGCGCGAACCGGACGTTGGTTTCGATGCTGGTTCGCTTCTTCCGGCGCCGCCCCGGAAGTCCCTCGAAGGCGCTCAGGGCCGGGCTGCCCAGCGAGTGCGGGGCCGGAAGCGCCGCGTCCGCCG